TTTTTGGTTTTGTTTTGTTTTGTTTTGTTTGGTACTGGGGATCGAACTCGGGTCCTTGCACTTGTGGGGCAAGCAATGGAACAACTGAGCTAAATCCCCGGCCCCTGCCTTCTGTATTTCTACGTTATTAGATAAAATGGTAAACAAGATCTTGCCCCATCCTATAGAGCCTGGAATAGTGGAGCCAGACAGGCATACGGGTACAGTGGAAAGGTTCACGGGGGCACCTCAGTCTGCTTAACCAGTCACATGCAGAGAGACCTTGGAACAACTGTGCAAGGCAAGGAATAAGAGGGAATTCTCAACCAGTGAAGAGCATGCGCAGAGAGTCATGATACACTCAGGGCCAGTAGCTCTCATGTGGCTAAAGCCCAGAACATTAGTAAAATTACAGAGAATCTGAAAAAAGCCCTCTGAGCTTCTCTTTTGGTTTGTTTGCTGCTTTTTTCTTGCTTCTGATATTTTTTCCAACTTATATTTTGGCAGGTGGAAATTGAGCAAAGAAAAAGTTTGAAACCAGACTTTGAAGGAGATGAAACAGAAAATCCCAAGGTGTGTGGGATACAGTGACAAAACCCTACATGTGCTAGGGTGGCTTCCTGAATAGTTTAAGTTTAAGTCAGTACCTGCTGTGGCCACTCCATATTGGGAGCAATCTATCAGACCTTCCTGTTTGCAGTTACCTGTCTTTTAATAGGAGCTCCTGAGGTGGTTGCTTAGAAGATGCTTTTTGACCATGACCAAGCCTGAAGCGTGTGGTTTATCTGACTTGGGAGCTTTCTGTATAGTTAAGCCTTCTTGTCTCATTTCTGCTTATATCACAGTACTAGTATATGGTTTGTTATTACTGTGAAAGAGTCCAGAAAAGTACTTCCAACATCATTGTGGGCATGATTTCTTTCTGATATTCATCCATCACTCATGAGTTTCTGGAAAACATGGTTTTGAAAAGTTAATTAAGAGTCCATTTCTGTCACTTCCTCTTGAAAAGGCTCAGAAAAGGTTCAAGACAAATTTCCTCTTTGGGTTTACTAGACCTTTTTTAGATGTCTCTATTCTATGCAACAGAACTTTTCCGATCTGTCTCCCTTGGTTATAGATTCTTTATATTGAAACATTTTTGTTTTCATTTCTCTTAGGTTTCAGTCCTAGGATTTGTTATCCTGAATCTCTATAGACGTGAGAAAGGGCCCAGTTGGATTTTACAAATTTTGTGACTGGACCTACATTCTGTGATTGGATTGGGCTGTATTCACATTCCGTTGAAAGGAAAGCAAAATTAGGCTTATTTCTCTTCATTTGGAGGAAAAGGGACATTAACTATAAGATTATATTCCGTTTAGGAGACATCTTCAATCTCAATGAATTCCCAAAGTCACACTGAAAAATACAGGCCACTTCTGATTCCTGAAACAAATACCTCAGGCATTTGTCAGGGGCATTTGGGAGTTCTTTTTATACCTCATAGCCAATAGATTGTTGCATGTCTCTTTAACACAGACTTTATAGGAAATGTAAGCTGAAAAGGAAATTTTCAAAGCTGTTTTAAACTTTGGATAAGCTCTCAAGTGTAGAGCTTGATAATCACAGTATTGTAATAAATTAAAAAGGCGTCTAGGATAACACGGAAAAGCCATATTTCCCTATGTTGTGAACATTAAATTCTGATTCCAAGAGTCAGGACATTTAGTCAATCTTCTTTTTCTTCATTTTATTTGTACCTTGGTGTTTTATGATGAAAAGGATGAAATGAGAGAAAGCACATTTTATCTGATTGGTAGATAATACAGAAGTAGACACTATGTCAAATTTTTCATTGACAGATGTAAGATTAATTTTTTTTTTTTTTTTTGGTACCGAGGATCGAACTCCGGTCCTTGCACTTGCGAGGCAGGCTGCAGAACCACTGAGCTAAATCCCTGGCCCATGTAAGATTAATTTATCCAATGAACATTCATTAATTCTAACTGTGTTACTGACACTAGGTTATAGAAATCATCACGATGTTTTTAAAGTATCTAAGCGTAAGCCTGAAACTAAAGGGGGGAGATTGAATAGGCATTAATGAGACACTATGTTCTGAGTTTTTTAAAAGCAACCCTCTTAAATACAGACTACAGGCATGTGTGTGTGTGCGTGTGTGTGTGTTGATGAGAAGGATGTTGGAAAGAACTGGTTTTACAGCCACTCATAGAAATGTTTCTTAGGGAAATGGGAGTTTAGTTATGAATTGGAAGTATATCACAGCTATCAAAGCTAATGCATTCAACCTGTGTTAACAGAAGTTCAGCAATCTCTATATGATATATTGTCACTACCTGTCTGGATAGAAGATTGAGTTCAATTACAGATACTGTTTCTAAGAGACCTTAATAAGTTGCTTGTGTTAATAGGCAGGAGACCAAGGTTGTGAAGAATCTGGCTATATAAGGAATGAGAACAGCAACCTTGAAGAACAGAAGAAATAGCTGGGAAGGGGGTACTGAGCAGGATGGAATGATAATGATAGCTGCCTCAAAATTTCTGTTAAACTATAAAAAGGAAGAAGTAGATTTATTAAGAGTTCTAAAGAGGAATAAACTCAAGTGGTAGAATTTCCTGTTTTTGCAAATGCTCAAAAGTTAAAATAACTGTCTATCCCAGATGCCACGAGAGGGACTGTCACATTGGATTTTGGCTAGCTGACGACCAAGATTTTTTAAAAAGGTCTCAACAAGAATAAGGCTCTCTAGCTCCAGTTGTCTGTTTCCTTCATGTTTTCATGCTGTTTGAAGTACAGAAGAATCCCTTAAAAGACTTTGTCAAGGGATTCCAAAATACATCCTTTCCTGTGCTGTACTAAAGACACTAAAGATTTCTCATAGACTGCCCAGATGGGTTGGAGATTGTCAAGATGAAGGCCATCCCAGTACCTTCTCCCCCAGGCTTAGCACTGTGGCAAGCCCTCTGCCTCACCTGCTAGCATCACATGAGTATGACTTGTTGGTTCTTATTTTTCCTCCTTGATTAATTCTCATTGCCTTCCTATTTTCACCTGAACTGTTTTTTGTTTATTAACCAAGAAGTGGGAGAGTCCCTTCTATACTGCCTGTGTTTGGCAAGCAAATTAGTACTAAATTTAAAAAATCTGCTACCTTGACAACATCAAGTTTGTTTTGCCTCTATTTTTAGGGAACTGACTATGGGTAACATATAGGGGTTGGGGAATATGATACAATATATTTTTAGTGTTTTACTAATCTACATAAAAGTCACAGTTAGGCACATAACTTTTTTGATGTGTAGAGTCTATGACTGCCACCCTGGATATGGGTTATTTTTTGTGGTTACAGAAAGTTCTCAATGAGATCAATAATGTGAAAATATTAAAAGTGAATTCATCTTACCAGTACATAGTATAATTATTAGAATACAAATTAGAAGATAGCAAGAGCTATAATGTACTTTGAGTCTAGGGCTTGCTCTTCAACTTTACAGTAAAAAAGGAAAATAATCATATTCATTGTATGTCAGAATGTGAGGCATTTTGTGAGGGAACATTAAACCTCCTCCACCTGTTCTTGTCGACATAGTATTATTTCTTATCAAAAGTTAGCTCCTTGTTCATATTAAATATTATCTGGACAGTTTTGTGGGTTTTTTATTCTCTTTCTACCTTTCCACATTATTATTGGGGGTCATAATTCTTGAGAACATTTTTTTATTTAAAACATTTCTTATTTGAAATGAAACTAATTTCTGTTCCAATCCAGTGGTTGGGAGAAGGACTTTTTTCCCCTAGAAACTCATGTTCCTGAGAAGTGAGATGCACAAAGATAAGGAATGTATCTTGTGTTTCCAATACCTTGCACAAAACTTGGAATAAAATAGAAGTCAGCTACCTTCAATGCTTCCTGGCAGGGCAGAGATACTCATGAAATAAAGGGAAATTTTTAGGTATTCAGTGTGTGTTGAAAGAATACTGACCTTGAGATTCTGAGACTACTTAAGTCCTATCAAATACTGGTACTAAAGCATGCAATTAGCTTTCATTTCTGGGAGGATTTAAATAACCTTGCTCTCCTTTTATTCCCAATTTCAGTGTCAACTAATAATAATTGTCAGCACTCAAGCACTTAATGTGTTGCTGAACTTGATAAAATGTATCTTATTCACACTGGGACACATTTTTTATGCTCGCAGGTAAAGTAACACAGATGCTGCTAATAATCAGATTACTGATGCAGTTTTGTGGCTGCAAGTCAAACTGTATCTGTGAGCCTAAACCTGGCACATTAGAATGGCTGGCGAGGGAAATACATGTAGAATGGAATTTGATAGAGTCCTCAGCCAGTCTTGGTGGACCAGTTCTTTGGTTTCCCCAACATTAACCACTGACCAATGTTACAGCACATTTCTTTTGTCACTGTGTAAGATGGAGGTCTGAGATTAGGAAAGCTGAATCTTGTCAGATGAAATCAGTATTTCACAGCTGACTTAGATTTTCTAAGTAGTGGAAAATTAGAGAACAAGTTGAAATTTTTTCCTTAAAAGCCTTGCAAACTATTAAATTTGTGTGAAGCAAATTTAGGGGAAGCACTGCCATCCAATCTACTTTTACAAATTCTCCTAGTTGGAATGGTAATTTTAACTCTTCTAAGAAATATTATTTTAATCCCAACATATTTAGAGTTTGGGTTAAGAATGCAATCCAACAGGAAATTTAAACAAAACTTACAAAAAATTTAAAATCATCTTAGTACTAAATCTAACCCTTCATTGCAACTTTTTAATTTTTTTTTTTTTATTCATTTGTGGCACTGGAGAGTGAACCCAGGGCCTTCTGCATGCTAGGCAAGTCTTCTACTAATGAGCTACATTCCCAGCCCCAACTCTTAATATTAGAGTATTCTCACCAAGTTTCTAAAGGTATTCTGTACATGTCACCAAAGTCCAAGTACCAATTCTCTACAAATCACCATTTTTTAATTATTCTCTTTGTATATAAGACAGGCTTTGGATATTGTGATTGATATTTACATATTTAAGTAATTAAAAGTGAAGGAAATATGTAAGACAGCCGTAAATATGGAGAACAGATGTGTATATCAATAATATTTTCCCGTTTATTAACTAAAACAAGAAGTAGGATTTTTATATTTCTTCTAGTGTGCCTTAGTGAATCTGCTTGAGAAAATCTAGTCCTTCGTTTTGAGAATTGAAAAAGAAAAATGTGTCGCTGAACCTGCACTTCCAAGCTTGCCTGTAAAGGCAGAAACTTTCCACATTGATATGTTTGGCAGTGCCTGGAAAGAGGCAAATAATAACTGGATGTAATTTTAAAAAGCTCTCAAAAGCAGACTTAAGAAATAGAAATTCAATATGAAATGGTATAAGGAGATGAATATAGCACTGGCCACCAGTCTTCAAAAAACTTGAACTAGAGACCACTTCTTTAAAACTAAAAGTATGAAGCTACAGGAAAAAAGAGATTGCAAAGCAGGAATAATCAATAGACTTGTTCAGCTCAACAAATATTTATCATGTCTACTCTGATCATGGTGCTGTGTTGGCAGCCAGCTTCCCTGAAAGGATCAAAAGCTAAGCACAAGGACACCGAAGATTGTTTAAAAGTCTTCGGTAGGCATTTTCCCAATTTAACTTCAGTTTCCAGAGAGAGAGAGAGAGAGAGAGAGAGAGAGAGAGAGAGACTTAATTTCTCCTCAGTTTCTTTTAAACTAAGTTTATGGAGTGTTTTATAAAATCTGCTTTGATGCCAATTTCACTGATATTCCATGTCAGTATGACTTCACATATTCTTAGGAACCAATTAATCTAAATTTTGAAGAGTGGGAAACCCAGATGGTTCATCTTTTCCTTTTCATGTCTTTACCCTTTACCAACTGCCCAGAAGGTAAAACAGAGAAAATCTCCCTGCAATCCTTTATTTTGTACTTGCCTTCAAAACTCCAGTTAGAAAGGAGGATCAAAGAGGCTGATGAAGATGGATTGGAATGCTTCTCTGGACCTTGCATGGGCATCACCCAGCAAGAGTGGTGTGGCTATGAAGAACAGACAGGTGTCCAGGGTGGATGTTAGGGTTTAGGTACAACTGGAAGCAGAAGTAGGTCTAGCCTTACAAGGCACTGAGGATGTCAGGATGGTCCCTGATTTATAGATTGCCCTTTTATACAAATGACTAAAGGAGGAAAAAGTACTTAATAAACATCCTGGGACTATTTGTAAGTTATGGCAAAACCAAATGAGACAAAAGGGACAGTCCCCCAACCCCGACTTTCCTCAGCATCTCTTACTAACACGAAAACATACATTTAAAAATGTAAAAAACATGTGTAAGCTACAGAATTGCTTCTCTTATGTGGCATGTTTCAGTATGATTTTGAGTTCTTTTCTTATGCTTAGTCGCATGTAATGGATGGATTCCACCTGGATGGAATGAGGGATTCTAGCTCCTTCCTGTTCACTCCCATGACCCGCTTCAGATCACACCCTGAACTCTAGTTGTGGACACCATCTAGTCACACAGTAACTGAAATCTTACACAGTGTCATTCGTGGCCTTGTGCTTTAGAGTGGGCAATCCTAGCAGTATCTTGCAGAAGACCCTTCTCTCAGCAGCGGCCTGCTGGGTTTAAGGGTGGTAAAGTCAGGAGTGAGAGAAGGGAATTATACGAACTCCTCTGATCCTCAGCCAGCATTCATTTAACCTTCATGTCCACTCACCATCGTAATCTGGAGAAAACATTGCCATATTCAAGAGATTAATCAGAATCAGTGCTTTTGCAAGGGGGACAACAGAGGAACGCCGTTCCTCACCCTGCATTTTTGTAATGTCCATAGTGAGTTTCCTTGTGTGAAAGCAGATGAGCCCAAGATCAAGTGGACGATTCAGCTGATGCAAGGCTTGTATTTTCCTTCTTTCATCACCTGTCCTCATTATACATATTTTCTTGCACTATTGTGGTTAACTTTATGTAAAACAAGTTTATTTTATTTTTTTTAGAAAATTAAAATGTGCCTATGTAAGAAAGTCTACACACTGGCTATCTCTGTCGAGGTGAGGTTTTAGTTGTTCTACTGATTATAATCTGTAATGTCTTTTTTGAATTATGAAAATGAGCTGTTAATAAAATTTTTAAACAAAGTGTCACTATGTAATGTTTAATGAAGGTGGGTATAAAAAGAGTAAATGTTTATTAGCCAAGTCCACCACCCAGTTGATTCAGCTAGAGATCCTAAAACTTGACAAGTTTAATTAAATTAACAGTTAACATTAGTTAAATTGAATATATATAATTCTGGTTTTGTGCCCAATATTGTGAGAAACTGAATGGAAATGATAAAATCCTTAAGGTTTTCTCAGAGAAAAGTATATACACATATAAAAAGTGAAAAATATTATGGAGCACATAAATAATAAAATTGTATTATGTTCCTGACCTATTGTCAGTGTTCCACAAGAAATTCAGTGTATGAATCCCGATAACTAGTGTCAACATAAACTCATCTGTGAAAAAAATCAATATAGACTAGAATACTTAGGAAGTTTTCACAGGAGAGATACCTTGTAGGTGAGACCTGGAGGCAGGAGTAAAAATTTGGCTGGGTGGCAAGAGGAAGAGAACTTAAGGTTGGGAAGAAGCAGGAGTAAAACTGGGATGTTGAGTTAACAGGAAATCAGCCTGGCCTGGGAGGTCTTCCTGCACACCAAGAGATAAGGTGGATGGTTGGCCTGAGCTGCAGTTGAATTTGCATCCAGCCCAACACTGGACTCAATCCAGTAAATGCTGTGAGGCAATACTGGAATCCTACCAATAAAGCGTTATTCTGGAAAGACTAGTCTGTCAAGGGATTTTGGACTATGGGAACAGAAATGATTTAAAGTGTTTTTTTAATAAAGCAAGAAATAAACAGCTTTGTGTTTTATTTAATTCACACTGAGCAGGGACATGTTTCCGTAAAATACAAGCCTGTACTAGGGGAAAACTCAGATCAGTTTAGTGTTCCCTGCTGTCAAGAGATCTCTGTCCTAAAGAAAACACACAGAATTTTATAGCCTCCTCAGTACAAAATTGGGGCTAGTAACAGATTTAAGTACACAAAAGAGTTAATAGCAAATAAGAGCATACTGTTTTCTATAGTTGAGAATGCTGGAGAATGTTCTTCTGCCCACTATTGTTCGCTCCTGAGTTTGGAGACCTAACTAGGTTTCACGTTGTTATAAAACTTTACTTTCCACGGCCAGGTATGTTCACCAATATTCCAGATTTGGGTAGGGAGAAGTGAGGATGAGAGAGTATAGACAGCAGCCTTGGTGTCCTTGGTGTCATTTGTTCATTCTTGTTCCAAACTCTTCTCAGTTCCTTGATCACCTTCAACAATCACCTCTATTCTTCCATCTAGGCAGCTTCCTCTATTCTCAAGACATCGTATTAGCAAACACACAATTATGTAATGCTTACAACCGTTGGTGCAAGGATTTTAGATATATTATTTAATGAAGGTAGCCTCTCCATTTTGTGATGCATTACACTAATAATTCCAGGCAGTTGGATGTTTACTGAAGGTTAGCAATCAATGGTGAGAATCTACATCACAGAAACAGAAAAGAATTCACAACTGACTCTCAGACATTCCTGCTTCTAAAGTTCGTTGACTATAACCCACAGAAGGAGCTTCTTATTGAACATCTCTCCTTTGGTCTTAACCTGAGTAGATACACTCTTTCTGACTGCCGAGGGACGACTGAAAGCTCTTCTTTAAGTGAGATGTGGTGATATATGCCTGAAATCCCAGCTACTTGGGAGGCTGAGGTAGGAGAATCACAAGTTTGAGACCAACATGGACAACTTAGTGAGAACTTGTCTCAAAAAATAAATAAGAGAGCTGGGTTGTGGCCCAGAACTACCCTGCACTGCAAAATTTTATTTTATTTATTTTTTGGTACCAGGGATCGAAGTCGGGACCTTGTGCTTGCGAGGCAGGCGGTAGAACCACTGAGCTAAATCCCCGGCCCAAAATTTTAAAAATAAATACATAAAAATAAATCCCATCTTTAGTGGGGATTAAGTTCTAAAGTCGAACTCTTAAAAACTCACATAAATGGCTCATAAAATAAAGGGATAAATCTTTTCTAATGACAGCTGCTCTATGATCCACAATTAATTTTTCAACTTCCTCTGAGGATTTTGAGAGTCATTATCAACCCAGATTCCAAGCCACTTGAAAAATGTGTTCCAGTTCATGATTATGTGAGGAAGTCATTACAATGAGTCACAATTATTCCCTCGGTTTTACCAACATGAACTGACTATTTCAGACTGCTCAGCATCTTTTATCTGCCTCAGAGGCCCACAGAGTAGGATGGGAGACCAAATAACTCGAATGGAGGTAAAATGAGCCTCCACTTTCCTCCACCCTTACTGTACAAAGCAGTTTTTAGGCCCATTCCATCCTATCCTGTCATGGACTCATCGAAGTATCTTTCCAAATCTTCAGTCATTTCTATGTAACAAACCACCCCAAACCTCAGTAGCTTACACAACTTTTTTTTAATTGTGGTTCACATATCTTTGAGCCTACTCATGGTTGACTGATCTAGGCTGGTCTCATTCATGTGTCCAAGTGTTGACTGGGCATGCTGGAGGCTGGGTTTGGTTAGGACATCTTAACCAAAATAAATAAACATGCTCTGTGTGTCTCTCGTCCTCTTGGAGCCAAAAGGCTTGATGGAATGTCATTTTCATGGGGAAGCAGAAACACAGTGGAAACGCATAAGGCTTCTTCAGTCTTGGGCTTAAGTGGCACATATCTGCTACATTTTTCAGACCAAATCAAGCCACATGGCCAGACCCAGATTAAAGTGATTAGAAAATGTATTCCACTATTTACTGTACTATGAAGTCATAGGCAAAAAGTATTCACATAAGGATAAAGAATTGGAACCATTTATCACAGCTAGTCTTCATAATTATGAAGTATCTTTATTCCCATTTCATTAATAAACTGAACTTCAAAATATTTAAAATGTGAGTTTACAGAATTCTTGAAGAATATTATTTTCTTTATCATCCATCACCTTTGGAAGATAAAAAATTCCCATTTATTCCATAAGGTTCAGTAAGTAGTTCATTGTCATAGTCACTCACCAAGGGCAGGCAAATGGTTTCTCTTCAGAAAAATGATCACATCACATCTCACACCCTAAGGAATCAAGCTTAAACTTGGGTGCAAGGGAATTTCAAAAACAGGCCCTTCTGGCCAGGCATGGTGGCACATGCCTATAATCCCAGCACTGGGGAGGCTGAGGCTGGAGAATTACCTCGAGTATGCAGCCAGCCTGGGCTACATAGTGAGTTCAAGGCCAGCCTGAACTACACAGCAGGACTGTCTCAAAAAAACCCAAAAACAGTCTCTTCCTGGACAAGGATACTGCTGTGGTGTTAATGTATTCCCTGGAGATTTAATCCCCAATACAACAGTATTAGAAAGTGAGGCCTTTTGGGAGATGCTTATTTTATAAAGGGCTCAATCCTCAAGAATAGATTGGTGCCCCTACAAAAGGGCTTAAAGGAGGGAGTTCACCCTTTTCTGTCCCTTCTGTCCCTCCTACCATGTCAAGCCAGTGCCTTCCTCCCCTCTGGAGAATGTGGTAACAAAGGGCCGTCGTGGAGGCAGAGACCTGGTTCTCACCAGATACTGAACCTGCTGGTGCCTTGATCTTGGACTCAGCCTGGGAACTATTAGAAACAAATTTCTGTTCTTTGTAAATTACCCAGGCTTACATATTTTGTTATAGCAGCACAAAGGGACTAAGACAACTAGCTAAAACATGGGAACATTCTATTATTAAAGGAAAAGGAAAAATAGATATCTGAGGACAGCTAGTGATGGGATTCATGTTAGTTAAGCTCAAATACCAACCTATTTTGTGCCTTCTCACAAATAGCTGATTGAGACCAGGGAACAGCCTACAACCATGATGATTTTCATTCCAAATCGCAAATGAGCAATCAATTCTACATAACAATCTTATATACTCCCTTTAAAATGTTGAACTTCTGCCCTCAAAAAAAAAAAACTAGCTTGTACCTTCTCTGCTTTTCTTAAGGCTCCAACAATTCCATACAACTCCTTACACAGAGCTCTTAGATGATAACTGTCTTTTATATTGCATATTAAAAATGAAATTAATCACAGGAACTTCCTTTTCCTCCCACTGCCAAATCTGCCAACCCAGCAATGTATTCTCAACATCAGTTTTAACTTTTTTTCCCACTCTTATCTTCTTCTACAGTGCACAGAAGCTCCCTCTTCCTTGCAAAGGCAAACAGTTCCTCTTGTGCTCAAGTTATTATTGAGTCTTTCTCAAAAATAAGCAACTTATCTTGTACTATTGTGTCTTGGTTTTCTGTTGGACAATTTGAACCAACTTGAAAGTAGTCTCTGAAAATCCCACCTTCCAAAAAAGTGAGGAAAGGACTCTGGGAAGATGAAGGAAGAGGAAGCACTGACAGAATGTCTTACGTAACTACTTGGGAACTTTGCTGTCAGGTGAAGGATTGCAGCTTCCAGTCAAAGGCGTAGATGGTAAACTGCAGTTAATTTGGGTCACTTTCAGCTCTCAGCACAGTAACTGTTATCCATCCCCCACCGCCTAGCCCTTTGGCAGGCAGCCACACACTCATTCCAGGAACAGCTTTCAGGAACTGGGATGGGCAAAAAAGACACTACTCTACATACCAGGGATCTGTGCTTCAGTCACTGATTGCTTTTTCTGATTGCAGATGTGCAAAGAGGCAGATGGCCATTGCTGTAAGCTCCTGCCCATTCAGCTGGAGGATTAAAAGGGCTGGTACCTTCCTCTTCCACCTTCATCTTTATCTTTTTTCTCTTTTGGGAAACATATGAAAGACTAGAACATTAAAAAGCAACTGCACATATTGAAGAAGTTAGAAAGTCAACATACATGCTCAGGGAAAGGCACAGCTTCAAAAAACACCTGAGAAAACCTTATATTTATACCTCATATGGATTTTTGACACACAGGCATCCCACAAAAAACAGAAAAAGCAAGCCCTGGGGGGAGAATCTGATTTACAGAGTATCTCATTATTAGATTCAAGTGTCCAGTATTCAACAAAAG